CACCCAGTGCCCACACAGATGCACATCCTCACAGGTAGCAGTCCAGGAGGAGGACCTGGAAGACACAAACATCCCCCACGTCGAAGACCTGATGGAGTTCATCAGTTTCCAGGAATTAGGTGAAAACTGGAACGACATGGACAGCTTCATTAGATGGGTGTCATTATCAGAAGACCCTGATGCACAAGCTGTAGCATCGCTCATTATGGGTCTTGACACCAAGAGGAATCAGGATAGAGCGCTGCAAAAAGGAGAACAGGACAAAGACTACTGGTCAGCCTATGTCCCCAAACACTTCCACGAGTATGGCGATGTGTTCTCCAAGAAGCAGTCAGAACGAATGCCCACAAGAAAGCCCTATGATCATCCAATCGAACTTGTTCCAGAGGACAGGAAAGAAATTCACTCGACACGTGGATAGACCAAGAGTTGGCCAAAGGTTACATTAAGAGATCAAGGAGTCCAACCGCAGCACCCGTCTTCTTCGTTAAAAAGAAGGACGGATCACTGAGGCTAGTACAAGACTACAGGAACCTCAACGCAGTCACAAAGAAGAAGAAGTTCCCAATCCCACGCATTTCGGACCTCATCGACAGACTCTCACATGCTAGTATATTCACAAAGCTTGATCTGAGATGGGGGTTCAACAACATAAGGATTAGGGAGGGAGACGAAGAGAAAGCCGCCTTCATCACACATCGTGGCCTCTTCAAACCCACTGTAATGTACTTCGGTTTCTGCAATGCTCCCAGTACCTTTCAGACAATGATGAATACAGTCCTCGAAGACTTAATTCGTACTGGAAAGGTGGTAGTCTACTTAGACGATATCCTCATTTTTACGGACGATCTCGAAGAACACTGACGACTAGTAAAAGCAGTTCTACAGCATCTCCGGGACAATGACTTATACGCCAAACCGGAGAAATGCTTCTTTGAACAGTCCTCAATCGAATATCTTGGCATGATCATCAGCAAGAACTCGGTACAGATGGACCCTGCTAAAGTCGAAGGTGTACTTGGCTGGCCCGCACCTACTAAGGTCAAGCAAGTACAGGCCTTTGCAGGATTCGCAAATTTCTACAGGCAATTTATAAAGGACTTTGTGAAACTCGCACGACCTTTAACGCTTCTCACCTGTAAGGACATGCCCTGGCAATGGAAGGAAGAGCAAGACCAAGCCTTCAGTGCACTCAAAATGGTGTTCACCTCAGCCCCAATCTTACAACTCCCCAACGACACTGCACCATACCGTCTAGAGACAGACTCTTCAGACTACGCAACTGGTGCAGTACTCGAACAACTAGGAGAAGACAAGCTATGGCATCCAGTCGCATACTACTCTAAGTCGCTCAACGAACATGAGCGGAACTGCGAGATTTACAACAAGGAGATGCTTGCTATTATTCAGACACTAGAAGAATACCGGCACTATTTAGAAGGACATCCAGTACCCATTGAGATATGGTCAGACCACCTCAACCTTACATACTTCTGCCAGGCACAGAAGTTATCCCGGCGCCAAGCGCGCTGGTCATTATTCCTCACACGATTCAATTTCATACTCAGTCACCGACCTGGAAAGACAATGCTACGTGCCGATCCTCTGTCCAGGAGGCCAGACCATGAGAGGGGGGTAGACAGCGACAATTCGAATCAAATGCTGTTAAAACCTGAATTTTTCGCTATCAATGCGATTCGACCTGCTCACGCATCTGAAGTTGATGATGCTCAACTACTGGAAAGGATCAAGAAGGCACTCACAGACGACACAATGACCAAAGATTATCGTGCGCTTTTGACTACAGGACAGTGCAAATTTGGGAAAAACCTCGCAGAATGGAACTTTGAGCACGGACTGCTACTCCATCGCAGAAAGGTTTATGTCCCCAAGGATCAACAGCTATGCCTTGACCTAATAAAACTCCATCACGACACCTTACCAGCCGGACACCCTGGCAGGTTCAAGACGTTGGAGCTTATTACTCGGAATTATTGGTGGCCAGGAATGTCTGTAATGGTTAAACAATATGTACAAGGTTGTGACAGTTGTCAACGTAACAAGTACTCAAGAGAAAAACCATACGGACTATTACAACCAAATGAGGTACCAGGAGAACCATGGGAGATCATCACAGTGGATCTCATCACACAACTTCCTCCAGCCATGAACTTCAGGGGAGAAAAGAAGACGGCAATACTTGTCGTCGTGGACAGACTCACGAAACGAGCGCACTTCTATGCAACGGACGATACAGTCACCTCATCACAAGTCACTAACGTATTCTATAATGAAGTCTTCAAACTCCATGGATTGCCACGCCAGATTATCTCAGACAGAGGTACTCAATTTGTGAGCAAACTATTCCAGGAGTTCTGCCAGAAGCTCAGTATAAAGTCGACAATGTCCACTGCATATCACCCCCAGACAGACAGTCAGACAGAAAGGGTTAACCAGGTGTTGGAACAGTACCTACGAATGTACTGTAACCACAGACAGAACGATTGGGTCTATTACCTGCCAACAGCAGAATTTTCATACAACAACCAGACCCATGAATCCACCGCACTTTCCCCATTCTTTGTCGAATATGGCCGACATCCAAAAATGGCACCAGACGTACATGAATCAATACATCATCCCTCATTGGAACATCTATTCGCCCACCGATCTGAGGCGCAAGAACAGGCAAAGGCAGCATTGGAAGTTTCGGCTTCACGAATGAAATGGTACTTCGACGAGAAAAAGGGAGAAGTCCCATTCAAAGTCAGAGACCTGGTACTACTCAAGGGAAAGGATCTCAGAGTAAAAGTCAAGTCCGCGAAGCTAGGCACACAAAACTTCGGACCTTACAAAGTACTTCAGAAGCTAGGCTCAGTCACATTTAAACTGGAACTGCCTAAGCAAATGAAGGTCCACCCGGTCTTCCATGCTAGCAAGTTGATCATGTACCATCAAGACATG